AAGGCGCGTACGTGCAATGCTTGAAGTTTTCCTGCAGTCTTGCAGGCGCTAATACGCATTTTGAAGTGTCCGCTTTGTTTGTCTTCGGCTTTAATATGCAAACTCAAGGAGTCAGTGTTTTTCAACGCATCGTTTTGAAATTTGTGCGCACTGTATGGATCATTGACATTTAAAATGATAAAAAAAATTATGTGCAGAAGGAAAATATACCGTGTGTTTTGCAAATATTAATGTGGCTCCGCATGCTGAGAATGGCTGTTAAAACACAGAATCGCTTATTTTGTCTTTTGTACTCTTTAACGTTTGAGATCATTGGAAGAACGCATTGAGAATTTCTCAAAATTCATCAAGTTGTTCATACTGCTAAATTAAAATATGTTGAACAGTTTGCGAGATTCTGCGTCTATCTCATTTACGTTTCTTTAAATCTCTCTCAGAAACCTGATCGACGGAAAGAGTGCCGGCGCACGCACTGAATTTTAAAGGGGCGCACTGAATAGTAAATCGTTGGCATTTTTATGCTCTACGTGATTTACGAGCAATTTCACATGTAAGAAGTTTACTTAGTTACCGAAATCTCTTTTGTGAAACAGAATGACTGCAACGTTGGCTCTGAGGAGGCGCCGCACATCTTAACTTTGCACGAGAAGAAAGTTTTGACAGAAAACTAATTCTTGTGAGTCAACACGTTACGAGTCAATCAATATTAATTCAATCATTGAAGGAAATTCGAGTATTGTTAACTCGCCGATCGTACCAGAACCTCCAATTCTACCGCGGATGAAATTCAGACATTTCTATTGATCCGAATAGAAATCTTCCGCTTTGTGATGACATGACGGTTTGACATGTACAGAATACCAGTGGCGTGGCGCGGATTGCGATGTATCGATTGTTATACCATTTAAACCTATCGTAAAGAATCGAATATTTAGTTGTTCGCTGCGAACACCCTGTTTATCGATCCTTTTCCATAGGTTTAAATTGCATCACAATCGATATATCGCGATTCACGCCACGCCGCTGCAGAATACTGTCGGATTACTTTGCTTCTCTGCGTTGTTGAGGTATAATTCCTCACACGAATATTCTGTTGTTGCCACATTTCTACCGATCATTCATTTTGAGAATTCATTTATGAGCTTTTTTCTTCGATGCTCTTAGAAAGACCGGATTGAGGAGCGACTGAAATTCTTAGAAAAATATTTGCAAAATGTTGATATAGTTCCTATTTTATCGAAGGAGAATCCGGAACCTTTGCATTTTCATGCGGCATTTTTCCTTTGCACAGCAGTCTTAGTCGTCAGTGGCGTGGTGTGTTTTGCGATATATCGATTTATCTACCATTTATCCCTATCGAAAAGGATCAATAAACAGGGCGTTTGCAACGAACTCCTTAATAATTGATTATTTCCCATAGAGATGGGGAAATATCGAAGATCGACCATTCACGCCTCGCCAGTATCAGTCGTGATACTTTTCTCTCTCGTTCAGAAAAATCGAAGAGGCTTGGTGACATAAGACTGAGAAATAATGTTATGTTGACGGAATCTTACAGAAAAGGGTTTGATCATATGTTAGAAAACAAGGGAGAGACGAATAGTTTTGAGCTTATTTATTTGCATATTTTCTTCTGCAAAAACTTTAAAGTGAAAAAAAAAATTATTGTAAAAATAAGCGTTGAAGTATTTGTTTATTATTGATCCTTACGAAAGAAAGAAAATGCCAAACCTTTTTCATGGCTTCAATCATGATGTGACTTGGAAATTTTCTTTTTATCTCTGTCCAAATGGTAGTGAATTCGAATGAATAAATCGAGCCGGTATTGTTCTTTGAATTTTTGCTTGCCGGAAGTGAAATATTTAAGAATGTCATCACTAAGTTAGTCGCAGTGTGATTTTTGGCCCTCGGTTGCTCACGAGTCTCCACCGTGCGCCGTTGAACGACCTAACTTTACGCAATCGATTTTCTTCGGGATTGAAATTTCACGCACTGAAAACTCCGTTTACTTAGTTTCTTGTCAATCTCGTTTGGGTGACCATTGAAGCAGCCCCTGGCTTGTTGCCGCTTCACCGTCACGTACACCTACGTTTACATACACGCACATCGCCGTTTAACATACGAGAGAATATATCTCCATATTTAAATCACAACGGTGAGGCAAACATGAAATACTCCTTTCAGAAGGAAGCATTGAATATTTGCACAAGTGAAAACACTGATATTTACGCAATTGTAATTGTTGACAATCATACTATCAATTTTATAAGGATGAAAAAGGAAAAAATTGTTAAAATCCGCTTATGATTCTTTTCGGTTCGTACTTCTGCCGTGCGACGCAAAAACGCCGTAAACGCAATTTTAAAGTATTTGGAAGCAATGCTTATCACAGCAGAAAAACTTGTGTACCTTGGAACAATGTGTTGACAAAATTCGTTCGCAAAAATTATTGAGAATTAAACTCGAGACTTTGAGGTGCATGGGTAGAACAGCTTTTATTTTATAAAGTGTTAAGTTCCAAAAAATGCGGGAAAATCTTGATGGATTTACGGCATTCTTGCTTAGCATGGCAGAATTGAGGTCCTTCCCAAAAATAGCACCCCTTTTTGAGAATCTTACATGGGTAGCATTCTGATGAAGGAACATTCAAGGGGAATCTTTCATGAAGAATCAGAAAAATTAAATTTTCAAGAAATTAGAGTCAAGTTCATCAAACTAACTTCGCAAATATGTTTTTGGATTTTTGTGGATTTTAGTCCAAAGTGGATTTTATTGACATGATCTCAGAAAAAATTATAAATCCCTAGGAGACCTAGCCGAGTCAAATGGACCAGAGGCTATCTAAAAACACGTGCCCCGCGGATTGTTTTAGGCCAGTACATACAAGCTTTAAATATAGGTCTACAAATGCATCTTAAAAATAGAATCAAACGCCAAATCGAAAAAAATGAAATCGAGAGTAAACACAGCCGATGATAGAAACGACGTATTCGGGCCTTGTTTTTTTAACTTTTCTCCCGAATTGGAGCGACAGTTCGTTCATACGAGGTCTCGCATCGCGCCATCGCCCCTTCAATTTTGCAGACGCAACGCGGATATCCATTAAGCACGGATAGTTGTATCCCTGCGCCGTCATCAAAGCGCATCCTACTCCTTTCTTTTGTTCCATCTCCATATTGTGTTTTTCAGTCATCCTTTTTCCGTCCTCCTCTGTGCCATTCAATTTCCTCTCATCACTCTCTCTCTCCGTTTTACTCTTTTTCTTTCGATTTGTAATAGTTTTCTGTATGAGGTAGATCTTCAGCTTTTGTGAAATGCATTCCGGATACGATCGTTATGTTTTTCAAATTTTAATCTTCAGGTGCGGATAAGTTTGGGAAAATCTAGATCTCAGTCCGTTGATTAATCATATTCCAAATTCTTGATACGAAGTCAAAAGTACTGTTTCCAAATAACCACCGATATCGATTCACTGGAATCGTTTGTAAATTGTAAAGAGTATTTTTGACCTTTTTTAATCTTTCGGGGGAAGAGTATCAGCACAAAAATGCCTTAATGATTGTTCTCCAAATTATTTACCTAAAGTTTCAAATTTGAAATACGGCGTGATCCAAAAGTCTTGCAACACAAGCACTAGGCAACGTCTCGGTAACGTATGAAGGAGTAAGATAGAGACTTGACATTTTGTGAGTGCTCCTCGGTCAAAAAAGACGACTTTCGAGGGTCCCAAATTTTAAGGGGACCACGCTGAAAAGGGGCAAGACCTTTAGGGGTGGAGCAGGACTTTCAGATCACCTTGTAAATCGATCGCATCCAGGACGCATTGCACAAAAGCTGAAAATTCACTTTATACAGCCAGTTCTGCCATTTCTCGAAAATAATTCCGACTTTCGGAACTTTTAAAATAATCGGAAATTTCCCCGGAATCTTCAAATTCCTAGTTCTGAATTTCTCGGAATTTCCTCGGAATGCTGGGGTTTTCCGTTGATTTTACCGATTTCGTTAGCAAATTTTACGATCTTTGGAACTTAATCCGGGCGTGCTTCGGAATTTTTCCGGGAACTCTTGAAAAAATCAGAATTCCCCTCGTAAATTTAGCAAATCGGAATTGAATCAGTGAGAACGAAAACACACCAACTCGGAAAAATGAAAAGAATCAAGACACATACGAAACCGAATAGTAAATGAAGAAATTAGTCTAAGAAAGAGATTTATGGTGCCAAAAGACAAGTACTTAAAGGCATTTTAAAGGACCAAGTTGGAACAGATGCGCTAACTTCAATTACTTTTATAAAAATTGACCGTCTCTTATAAAAATTGAGCAATTTCGAGTTACCGAGTTGGTGTGTTTTCGAACTCACTGATTCAATTAATTCCGGAAATCTTTGGTGAAAGAAAATGGCAGCACTGCTGAGCACCGTAAGGCGCCCAACAATCCGAGTCTGTAATACCACGGTTAAGGAACGCTCCTGAATCCAGGCTTCAGGAAATGAGCTGTTTAAGGAACGACTCCGAACAGGGCCTGCGGCGGAGGTTCCATTCTTTCGGGGCGGAACTTTTAAAATAATCGGAAATTTCCCCGGAATGTTCGAAATTTCTAGTTCTGAATTTCTCGGAATTTCCTCAGAGTGCTGGGGTTTCTCGTCGATTTTACCGATTTCGTTAGCAAATTTGATGATCTTCGGAACTTAATCCGGGCGTGCTTCGGAATTTTTCCCGGAACTCTTGAAAAAATCAGAATTCCCCTCGTTTTAGCAAATCGGAATTAATTCCGGAAATCTTTGGCGAAAGAAAATGGCAGCACTGCTAAGCACCGTAAGGCGCCCAACAATCCGAGTCTGTAATACCACGGTTAAGAAACGATCCTGAATCCAGGCCTTCAGGAAATGAGCTGTTTAAGGAACGACTCGGAACAGGGCCTGCGGCGGAGGTTCCATTCTTTCGGGGCGGAAATCAATCAAAGAGCAGGGTAAAGCGGGGGTGTGGGGCGGGGGGCTCACCTGTTCTAACTAGCTTGAAGGTGGCAGCGTTGTGAGCCCGAAGCGGCTCGTTCAGTGATGGATGGGACAGATCGCGGAGGGATCCCTCGCCCGAACCTGTTGCCATCTTCGCGGAGTCCTCCTCCTCGTTGTCCTTATCCCACTTGGATTTTTTCACTTTAACTTTCTTGCCCGCTCGGGCTTTCTCGACGGAGCGCGATTTCTCGGCTTTGCTCGCCGGCGGCGGACGGGGGAGGGGCTTCGGAGACGCCGCTTCAGCTCCTGAAACAAACAACCAATCCGGCGTGAGGCCAAAGAAAAATATCAAATATCACTCATGCATTTCCTTGTTCACTGAAACCAACAATGCATTGTTATATTTACATGAAAAAATGGAGATGTTGCATGTGTGAGGAATTTGCGATTTGACTGTTGATTCTTATGTAAAAGTTCGCGAGAAACATGATGGTGCCACCAGTTTTCTCTGAAATCAACTCCCAAGCTCAAAAAAAAGCTCTCAAGTTGAGGCCAAAATGGAGGGGATATCCCACGCTATCCTGAGAGTCCATCCCTACATCAAAAAAACTCTCCATGCAAAGATAGGGAGCAAATACACTGACATGGCTGCCACTTTATTTGGAGACTATAAAAATGAAAACACGGCAACCCTGCTAAATGTACTTGCTCCCGATCTTTGCATGGAGAGTTCGTCTTGGTGTAGAAGTGGACTCTCAGGATAGCGTGGGATATCCCCTCCATTTTGGCCTCAACTTGAAAGTTTTTTTTGAGCTTGGGAGTTAATTTCAGAGAAAACCAGTAGCAACATCGTGTTTCTCACAAACTTTTACATAAGAATCAACAATCAAAACGCCAATTCCTCACACATGCAACATCTTCATTGGAAAATATGGGAAACAAGGTTAAAAATGCAAAACTAAAAACCCTTTCGACTCATGAGTGAGTCATTTTCAATCGGAAAGTAAAAGGAAAATTAAAAGATATCGAAGTAAAAACCTGAGGCCTGTTAGTGGCCGAGATCCTTTTCAGATATTTTTTTAATTTTTCAGTTTAATTTGACTGAAAATGACTCAGTTTCGAGTCAAAACGTCTTGGGCTTTTAGTATTGTATTTTTAGTCCTGTTTTTTTCGTGTTATCATTATGTCTCGAGCTGCAAAAATGTGTATTGATGTTAAATTTACAAGGATTTTTGTGATCTTTTATCCACATCCGGAGCTAAGGAACAACACCGCCTAATCGGCAATTTTGGCAAAAATGAGTTAGGCTTTTTACTGTATTCTATGCTAAGAAATAGAGTAACTATATAGGAAGAGTATTGACAGGTCGGGAAATTTTGAGGATAGAAGATAGGGATCTTAGGGCCCAAAAAGGCAGCGTAGCCTGTGAATTCAAATTATCCAGCGGGATCGTTTATCATTATTGTTACTATCAGTCGTTAGTAAAGCACGTATTTGACCTAGTTTTTGCATAAACTTACTAATTTTTGCCAAGGAACGTTCATTTATGAACATTCTTTGCCGCATTTTGGTTTGATATTGAAATTTGAAGACTGGCAGTGACATTTTTCGTTTTCAAAGGTTGGCTGTCATTTTGGACCCTAAGAGCTCCATATTTCAACATATATCCGTACCGTATATAAAATATGCAAGCTGGCGTTTATTTTTTTTTTCCAATTCCACATGGGAGCGCTGTAATGACACTGTAATGTATGAGCAACATCGCTAACTCAATCTCTGAAGTACAAACATGGACAATATTATTCTTCGTCCTGTAAAATCGTCAGTTTATAGATAGGCATTACTGTCCTTAGTCATCGACATGAATGTTTTTTATCTACACAGTTACAAACATACGTGTTATTAGTTACTTTTTTCGGTCGCGAGATATTTTATAGCTGATGGGTCTCAGCGGTTTCAAAGATTAACCATCATAGAGAAAAAAAGGAGGTGTTTGCATCTTGAGGTTTGTTTACCCTGTGACGTAGGTCGGTATACAAACTGGCCAGCGAAATTCGGAATTTGAAGTATGAAAAACGGACCAAAATGTCCGATTTTTTGCTTAAATCAACTCATTATATAATTTTAAGCACTTTTTATCGGATTAATTTTTTCCATAAATTACACCGTTTCCAAGAAAATCGATGATAAACTCGTCGTACCGACCTACGTCATCCAAGATGCCCGAAATGCAAACACCTCCTTTTTTATCTCTATGATTAACCATAACTTTGGCTAAGAGCAGCCAAAATGCCCAGCACCCGAATGCCATGCAGAAGCTAATCGCATTAAATCGCAAAAAATCCGTCCATCGGTGAGTTATCTGTGATGCAGTCGCTTTGAAGCAAGCCAACCGCGCCCAAAACCAACCGTAGGGCAATAAAACGGCCACTTCAAGATCGCCGCCCGTAAACAAGCTATGTACGGCGGCAGTTTGTTCGCCTTAAAATAAATCCGAGCGTTTATGGGAAAATAAATCTATCAACTATTTAAAACAGAGCGTCAGTAGTTGGCTATTGTTTGTCTTAGATATTTGCTTGGGATCCTGCCAGATGTATTAATCAAAAAGCTGCCCGATATGAATACATTGCTGCCAAATTTCGTCGCTCTTCCAAAGTAAAGTCGTTTAATCGCACATCGTGATAAGCTCTACCGCTCATAGCACTGTGTGCTCTACGGAGCTTATTTGGCATAGGGAATACGTCCTTATATTCACGGAGAAATGAATTGAGAAAGATGATCAGTGTCCAACATCTCTTATCAGTGTAGCATTCAGAAATTCCTACTATCAACTTAAGAAAAATGCCAAAAATCCGAAATCTTCATGCTGTAACACTCCCTTAAAGCTATACTACTTGAACGGAGAGCCTCAAAAATACGGGTATAAACAAATTTTCAAATATGCCGATCATGAAAACACAAGTCGTAGTGTAAAAAAAGTATTTTTATTAAGGAATGATTGATACGATTTTGATATTTGCAAAGTTTTTTTGGATTATTACTGTCTAAGTAGGTGCTCTACTGCTGTAGATATTTATTTTATTTTATTTTTTTTGTGAATTTTCTCATTTAATTCAATTTACCTCCCAAAATACAGTTTTTTTTTATCGTAGGTTTATTTTGCAAAATCAATTTTACATTTTAACCCTCCTAAAACTAATTCCTAGAGGTTTCCCTAGTATTTTTCCGCCCTGGAGAACTTCTACGGTTGACATGCTTTTAATACGTACTAAAAATTATCGTAAATCTGTTTAACATAGTTTTTTTATACACAGAGCTGAATTATCACGACAGTATATGAAAAGTATGTTTCGCTTTGAAAGTATGTTTCTGTGCTGACATGCAGAGGTATATAATTTCGTTTATAATTAGATACTTTCTGATCAGTACACGCGTAGGGCCGTTGGACCGATTTCAAAGTGAGTGGCGTTTGAGAAAAACCTTAAAATCATACCAAAGTACACAATTTTTCGATCAAGACGTCAGCATCAGACAAAACTTTGACGTTTAGTAACTAAGCAGGACGTAGCGTGATTTGCGATTTATCGATTGATCTGCCATTCAAAACTAGGGAAAATGATCGATAAACAGGGTGTTTGCAAGGAACACCTTTATAATCGCTCTTTATCATGGCTTCAAATGGAGAAATGTCAAAAACCGACTATTCACACCTCGCCCCTGCCACTGAAATCAAAACAATTGAATTTATCAAAAATCGTCAGCCGATTTAACAGTTGTACTACAGAACGAAGGATATGAGTTATTTCTCAAGTTAGTTTTGAGACTTTTTTCTCAACAAAAACCTTTCATCTAGTAAAAAGGAAGTTCAGAGTCAGCTCAGTTTAACGACCGTCAGGGATATTTTGTAGCCTCCATTATGTGAAACTTTCAAATAAGTTTTGTTCCCGCTTCAGCTGTCTTTTGACCACCTTCTTTCGCGACAAATCTAGAATTTCTCTCCGCGCTTTGCAACCTATTGCCATCCAACTAATAAAAAAATGAGTTAGGAAGCAGTGGCGTGGCGTGAATGATCGATTATCGATATTTCCCCATTTGAAAGCACGGTGAAGAATCGATTATCAAGGTGTTCGTTGTGAACGGCCTGTATATCGATCTTTTTCCATGGGTTTAAATGGCAGATCCATCGATACATCTCAAAGCACGCCACACTATGTCAGGAAGAGAGGAAAATCCTGAGCCGGAATTTTATTCATTTCATGTCGTCCGTCTTTTGAATCAAACGGCTATGCCATAAACATATCGAAACTTGTCAGTGAGCATACTGTTGAATAGAGTAATATAATACGAGGATAATGAATCAAAGTGAGAGTATAAGGCCAACATGTAATAATAGAATAATAGGCCAACATTTTTGGAAGACGTCGTGTAGGAAAAGGTTGAAATAAAATTTTATGACTGCTGAATTTTTTATGAAACTTAGAAAAAGTTGAATGCTTCATCAAATAAATGACAGTAAAAACTTTTATTTTTTTGATGAAGCTGATGTGACACGGAATTAAAAGAGACCTTTGGTCCCGTCAGTGGCGATTGCCTAGAGTTGACTACAATATTTGTTCATATAACCCATTAAAAATACCGATTTTAGGCGAAACTGGCTCGTTAGTTAGGTATCAGGTTGGTAAGCCTGATTCTCGTTAGACTCTGGTTTGTATTTTTGGGAAATTGACAACATTCATAAAAATAGCCTAAATACATACATTACGCAAGGCCTAACTTCCACTTACATTTTTTTTAAAACAGAAATTTGAGCATTTTTCTGCTTTAAAAACTAGAAAATATACTTTTTTCCGAAAAAAAAACATTAAAGAAAATTGGGCGATTAGAAATTTAGTAAAGATGACGATAGTTGAATTGGTCCAAAAGTCCTTATTTATTCGTTTTTTTATTTTTCATTTTTTTATAATTCTTCTAATCAATATTCCAATGAAAATTGTGTGGTTCAAGAAAATAACAGACGCACGCCTACGCGCTAAGGCAGGCGCGGCTAAAATTCCGGAAAATTCAAAGTTTACCCTTTACAAAGAACCGTAAGATAAATACTGTGTCAGCTTTCCCCTCATTGGTGGAGACCCGAGCCGTTGATACGGTCTGAAAACGCGCGCGTCAAAGAGTTTCCCGACCGCGCGCCGCACATTGAATCGAGTCAACGGGAGAGGTCGGACAAAATTCGGAAACTTCCAAAGCTTTCAACCCCGTTTATACAAAACTTTGAGGTTCTAAAAGTGGTTTCATCGGTTTCCTCGTAA